AATTGATGATCACGATCACTCTGCAGATAAAGTAACAAATTGAAGTACGAAAATCTCTTGAAAAGCGTTTTCTTTTGACTTGTGTATGATCTCTGTTAGAATGTTAATGCTGTCTCATATAATAAAGAATGTGTTAAAACAGAAATTCAGAAGCATTCATTTCGTTTTCTCACGGATATCTGAGATTCGGACTTCTATAATCATCTCGAACTGCTTACTTATTATCATACACTCTATCTGTCCATAGTGTTTTTATTAGAGACATTATTAAAGATGAGCAGGACTATAATGTATCGACTTCTCTTCTTATTGAATCTCAGTCTCACGAATACATATAACTAACGGGTGAGTCAGATTAAATGGACCTCTCAGTATTTTGACTATAACTTTTTTCTTTTTGGTCTTTACAGCTAATTGTTTTTTCAAAAGATGCGCCGTAAAATTCTCTGTAAAATCATAATCAAACTTATTTGTGTACAAAGTTAAAGAAAAAAATTAAACGAAGATTATCCGACACATTAAAAGTACCCAACTTCCAAAGCTAACGGATGTCTCATAAGTGTCCGATGTTTGTGTCTCTTTTTTCTATCGTCAAGCACATTATTTTAAAAGTAAAGTATACCATAAGGTGCAACGTGAAAAGCTCTACAAGTTACATTAAAAACCTTATTTTATGCAAACACTCTTTGTTTTCAAAATGAACAAAATTCTATGCAACTAATTTTCGACGCTGCGAACAAGATCATTTTTGGTCGCACAGAGCTTTGCTTATTATAAAAACAAAAGATGCATATATATAAAATAAACTGTTCATTGTAGATTGTAGAACTTTTCACGCTCCATCTTGTAGTATATTTTCTTTTCTTTTAATACAACATATTAGGCGATAAAAAGATGAAATAAGAAAAAATGAATTCGTAGTTTAGCAAAAACTGATCTTGTTCGCAGCGTCGAAAATTGGTCGGACAGAATTTTGTCCATTTTGAAAACAAAGAGTGCATGTATAAAATAAGGTTTTCAACGTAACTTATAGAACTTTTTACGCTGCGTCTTATGGTATACTTTGTTTTTAAAATAGACGTACTTAACGATAAAAAAAAAGAGATACAAATACCGGTTAGCTTTGAAAGTGGGGTACTTTTAATGTGTCGGATAATCTTCGTTTAATTTTTTTCTTTAACTTTCTACACAAATAAGTTTGATTATGATTTTACCGAGAATTTCACGGTGCATTTTTTAAAAAAACAATTAGCTCTAAAGAACAAAAAGAAAAAAAGTTATAGTCAAAATACTGAGAGGTCCATTTAATCTGACTCACTCGTTACTTACATGTTTAAGTAGATTTTATTTTATCTTTTGGTCATAAGTAAACTTCGATGAAGTGTAAAAAATCTTGAAAAGAATTCTTTTCTTTACATCTTCGTTCTCAATCCAAAGTCGATTTGCTGTGTTTGTCACCTGCTGCATGATATTTTGAAAAACTCTAGAATGGCATTAATAATCCCGGTAAACTAATAAGTCTGTCTTGAGGCAGTCGAACTTCGAAATATCAAAGATTTATTAATGATTCAATTAATTTGAGTTGTCTTGAAAATTCATTATTTCGACAAAGAAGTATTGTTTCAGCTGAAAAATTTAGATCATTCATTCTAATGGCTCTGCTATCTCGCTGTCAGCAATACATCAGATTAAGCATATGATACCCAAGTTTTCTTGAAATATCGTGTAACACCAGGTGATCAACTCATCAATACGTTCATAACTCGAGAATAAAAAATTTAAAAGGAAAGAATACTTTTCATGCTATTCAAATCTTATTCAAGTCTACCTATGGTTACAAATAGAATATAAAAGGCTTGAACATTTCAGTATGTTACCATATTAATTGTTTTTTTGTTGAAAGGCAATCGATTATTTTGAATGCAATTTTTGAAGTTCAACATTTTGTTGTTAAATGTTGTTGTCATTACATAATAATATTAGTAAAGTTAGTAATGGATCAAAATTAGATAAACAGATTATTTAAAAAAAATTTTGGTAGCTATCTATTCATTTATGACATCAAATATTCTTTGTTAGAAGTAAACAATTGAAAATATAAAACTTTGAAAAGACTTGTATATTCCATATCTTTATATTCATTCATGACTATTCCACCGAGATATATATTTCATTGAAGACTTACATATTTAAATATTCTTAGAAACGTTATAAAATCAAAATGGTGTCAAATAATATAAAATGTTGATTAAAAAAATGCATGATCATCTGAAAACATCTCTATCACGGAAAGCTTTCCTCACAGCCAAACTTGTTTTTATAAATATTTGTTTCCCATGGTTGTTGTACTCTTCTTTCTATTTCTTGTTTGATCATTAATTGTTGAACATTTGTTGGTAATCCAGGATTGAGACTCAATGCATATGGTAACAACGGTTGCGGTATGTCACCAAAATCAATCATTACTTTAATAAACATTGTATCATCTCGAACATATGGATTACCTTCTTGTTGAATCATCGCCAATGGAAAGAATTTAGGTACACCATTAGCAATATTCATTTCTGATCGTGGTCTTTGAAAACTATTCGATCGAATATCTGGTCGAAAAGAATCGATAATATGTTGTTGTCGAGGAGTTTGATCATACAAACAAAATGCAACTTTATAATTGAAGGGAAATTTTAACGTTGCATCATTTCGTCCACGCATTAAAACAAAAAACAATGACATATGTGTACGTCGAGCATTGCCGTCACCATTCAGATAAAGTCGGGCTCGCATTTTGTAGCCAGTCGGTGACGAATAGAA